CCCCGTTTTGACGTATGGCATGCTGTACGTTGCTGGGTGACAGTTACCTTTCCCTTCTTGCCACGTCTCTGGATGTGACATCTTTCACTCAATTTAGCTATCTTGTATGGACTACTAGGGGCTCCAGTGGGTTCGTGAATTGCTCTCTTACGGCCATTTTTCCTCTTGCTCACAAAGTTTAGTAATGTTTTGCTAGAGTTCCTGACCCTGCTTTTCACGCCACTCATCTCATTCCTTGGAGAAGATATACTGGGTTGATTAACATCTTCAATGTTTATTCCATTTTCATCAGTTATGTTTTTTATGGTCCCACTTTTGAGACCAAGAAGTGTATTTAAATCCACTATTGTTGCCCCTGTATCCTGTACAACTCCTTCACATTCAAAACTACCTTCAACCTGAAGGAACGAATTTATTCCCTTGTAAGTATTTGATTGGGATTAAACCATTGTAAGTTTTCAAACAAATAAAATTTTAATTTTTAAACAAAGATGGAAGAGTGATGATTTTATTGCCTTGAGAAACAAGCGAGATGAATACCTGCAGTTTTAGTGGGCTTGAAAGAAGTTCGGGGGAGCAAGGTCTTTGTGTCCATTCAAACATCTCACTATCGAAAAAATGAGTATTCTTTGCTATGTCACCGGGGGCTACGCTCTGTGCAGTAGTAAAATAAGAAACACATTAAGAATTTGAATTCCAGAACAGCTCAAGAGTTCAAACTTAAAATTTCAACATATTAAGTAAAATGAAATGGCATGTAACATTTGAAGATCGCAAGACACAACTTTCATAAGAAGCTAAGTATAACATATAGCATAAGATCCAATTAATGTTAGCGCCCCCTTAGAATAAATTCAAAGAGGAATTTTCAACCATAGAGTATATAATCTAATATTTAAACTTTACAAACCTTTCCTAGGCCACAACCAGAAGCTTGTGCTTTTGGTTGAGTTGGTTTCTTGACATGGTATCAAAACTTGAGCTTTTGGCTTAATTGGTTCCTTAACATGGAATGGGAGCCTTGTTGACCAAGAGGTCACGAGTTCGAAACTCAGCCCACTGAGTTTTAAAAACTTAATGTTCATGTGTAAGGCTCGAACAAAAAAAAATCCCGTCTGCACATGAGAGGGCGTGTTAGAATATAAAAACTTTTCTTGGGCTACAACCACAAGCTTGAGCTTTTGGTTGAATCGGTTCCTTGACAGTAATAAAAGATCTACTTCTTGGGTTTCTACCACAAGCTTTTCTTGGGCTACAACCACAAGCTTGAGCTTTTGGCTTAATTGAAGCGGTGTCACTGTCATTTTGGAATACTTCTGGTGCTCTGTTCGTAGAATTGATGGTTTCTACCCCTCTAATCCACCCCCAAACCCCCGCCCCTGCACCCTCATCCCAAGTCCCAACCCTGCCATAAGCTCCCCACAAAATGTGTAGCTATCATGCATTACTTAATAGCCACACATTGTGTGGGGAGCTTATGGCGGGTTGGAGTGGGGGTTTAGGGGTGGGTTAGGGGCGTAAGAACTGTCAATTTTATGAATGGAGTACCAGAAGTACCCAAATTGACAGTGGCACCGCTAGTGTCACATAATGTGAGTGTCACTAGAACCTCACTAATTTTAAAAATAAAGGTTTAAAGTCATAGGGCATCAAACTCATTTTCAGTAAAATTGTGAGGTAAGTTAAAAAGAATTAAAACTAACGTGACAAAGAGAAAATTTGAAGTCCGGGTTTGAAACTCTTGCCTCATATACTTTGAAGAGGATAAATTTCACCACTATTTGATCCTTGACTCTCGCGGCTGTGTTTTTCCAAAAAATGTCAAGGAACATGCCATCCACAGATCCACTATATATATCAGATTTTGTGAGCACCTCTTCCATATGTTCTGCTAGCCAAACACTACTCAAATTCTCAAAGAATGAGCAGTGTGTGAACAACAATTCACTTGATAAAAGGAACAAGAACAATTCATTTGATAAATTTACCTTGAAGCATTTCATCAAACACAACATGGGCATGACAAGAACAAGAACAAGAACAATTCATTTGATAAAAGGAAAGTGCACATATATATATAATCCTCCACAAGAAATTAGTAAAACAAAACACCCCGAGCAATTAACTGCTTGCTGCTGCTGTTGCAACAGAATTCGTCCCTTGAAGCTCCTGAAGGCGCCGCCGCCCGGTTTTTTTCTTGACGCGGCGGAGGGACAGAATCAGAGCAGCAAAGCGCAGAGAAAGGAGAAGCACCAGGAAGGTGACGAAGACGTAGATGAAGACGCGGAAACCGGCGTGGGTTTTCTGAATCCTGGGGTTGAGAAGGAAGGCGCCGAGCGTGTAGGAGACGGCGAGGAGAATGAGAGAGACGGACATGAGCATAGCCAGGGCCAGGGTGGGGTACCCGGGACCCAGAGGGACCCCGCTGATGACCAGTATACATGTGGTGATGGAGAGCAGGAAGGAGGCGGAGTTGGTGAGCATGAACCCGTTGTAGCCGTGGCGGTCCCTTGCGGCGTAGACGGATTGACCCGGGCACGCTGCTTGGCCGTGCCCGACTGGGGATGAGGACGGGCAGGCGACGGATCCGCCGTCGCCGTTCTGGATCACGCCGCCGGGGGGGTTCAGGCCGTTCTGGAAGGCCATGGTTGCGATCATGGTGGCCATCAGCCCCAGGTTGCCTCGCATTTCCTTCAGCCACTCGCCGTCGTCGTCATCCGCCGCCGGGACGGATATCAGGAAACGGAAGCTGTCCACCACGAATTCCATCGTTGATTTTCACTGACTTTTTTTTTTTTTATTTTTAAAATTCAATTCTTGAATACAAAAAAGAAAGCAAGTGGGACTATATGACAAAAAAAGAAGAAGAAAGCAAGTGGCCAAGTGAGACTGCTTGTCAACAAGAAAGCAGTGCCAGCTACCCGAGGAGGAGGTACTGATTAATTATCGGGTCATTCACCAATGAGGGTGTACGCTTCAAACTCGGACCGGACCCGACTCGGACCGATTAACTAATTAAGGCACTTTTCTAGGACGGGGGACCAGCCTGAATAAAATAAGGATCAATTCGGGACCAAACCGGTAAAATCCAGACATTTATAGAATTTTTTTTTTTACTTTTTATTCTTTAAAAATTAATTTTATCTATTTAATTTAAAATATCCCTTTTAAAAAAGTATTAAAATTAGTAATATGTAATGTCTAATGCATAGTAAACATTATCAATCACCATTATTTAAAAAATAAACTATTTAACATACTATTAACACTATAATTATATCATGTCTGTCGCTTAAAATATAAACTAAAAGTCAACAATAATACTACTGGAGTTAGGGGTGGGCAAACGGGTCAAGAAACCAGGAGTCGAAATCGAACCGACAGGTTCGGTCCGAGTTAGGGGCGGGTCCTCTTCTCAATTATTTATAACGGGTCGGTCCGGTCCTTATAGGTTTTAGGGTCGGTCCGGTTCTCCATTTTGAAATTGTCCAGGACCCGGACCAGACCTCTTTTTAATACTTCATATTATTATTAGTAATTACACCTAGACCGATCCTCTTTTTAATACTCCGTATTACTATTGACATTATAATGCCAAAATGTGGTTGTGATTTTTGTTGTTGTTGTTGTTGGATGATCATGGGGGTGTACACTTTACTGCCAGGCTCCTCTTGTACACTTTACTGTCAAGCTCCTCTTCGGTCTCTTTTTTGTGTTGGACGACTTGAAATTGACAATGGGAATAGTACATTGTTGTGGACAAATGGTGAATGACCATGTATGTATTATAAATTTATTATCACTTTATTTTGTTAATATTAGTATCATGATAGGTTTGGACCCGTTGACCCTTGAAATCAGCTCGTTTCAAATAAGCCGGATTTGGTCCAGTTTCAATTTTAAAATTTTGAAAACCCGTTCCAGCCCAGACTGTTTTAATAAAAACAAACCAAGTCCGGTTTATACAAATCTTAGCTCGGACCGGCCCTTGCCCACCCCTAACTGGAGTTCTCCATAAAACACTAGATGATGACAAAGATGCTTCAGAGAATATTGTGGATCACAACCCAACATTCAAATCATACATATATCTTCTTAAAGTAAAAATAGTAAAGAAAAAAGATGTTATTTTAAAAGAATGTAAAAATGTTCAAAAAGTTCTTTTATTCTTCCCACAAAAAAATTATTTTTGTGATATAAAACAAAAATGTAACATTCAATAAGTCTTAAAAATATAGTACCAGTAACATAATTTGTAAGAAAAATCATTAATGGAATTGCTATTTGATTTAAATTGACTGTTTAAAAAAGTTGTGATTTAAAATACAAGAAGCATTGAATTAGTCTTAAAGTTATTGTAACATGAGCAAAATATAAGAAAAAACTTTATTAGTTATATTATATTAATTTATAGAAAAACAATTTAAAAAAATAAAGTTTGACCGGTCCACGGGTCAGGACCGAAATGCGATGAACCGGACCGAATCTAAATCCGAATAAGAGATTCTATAGGATCGAAGACCGGACCGGAAAAGAACCAGTCCGGACGGGTCCAGTTCGGTTTTGATCAGGTTTTGGGTCGGCCCAAGTCCGGACCTAATAATGCACACCCCCATTGACTGACATATGCAAAAAAAAATGCAGGAAATGCTAAGGTATCCCCAAATGGTTGCTACCATGATCATCATCTTTGATATATGCGCAAAACTTGAATGCATCTATGGTAGCAACCATTTGGGGCACCATATCATAACCCAAAAAAACAATTTGCCTTCGAGTTTGTGTTCCTCCTCGAGTTTCTTTACTCTTTTTTACCCACCTTCTTCATTGAGAGAGAAACTCCATTGTTGATTGCCATCCAGAGTGTGTAATCAACTGATTGAATGAAGATTCTCATTCTTTCTTTTCAATAAAAGTAATTTACTCCATTAAAGAGTGTTGTTAATGTTTAGTATGGGTTATGTCCCAGAGTCCTGGCTAAATTCGGGCATATACTTTAAATGTTTATTTAATAGTTGGAATAATTATTCTAGAATTATTGTTATTGTTAAATTAATTAATTATATCGATAAAATAATTACTTAATAATTGGAAATTAATTTTTGCATTGTCTATGAGCATATAACATTAATTAAGCCAAACTTTTTAGAACACATTAATGTTGCCTTGAGAGAGGATAAGTTACTGAAAAATCTAAGATATAAATATTATTTTTCCAATTATTGATTAAATATGTGACAACCTTAGTTAATCCAGATGATGCCTTAGCCCACAGTCTAGTCCTATACCCGTAATGTTTATTTTTTCTCAAGCACACCGAGTAATGTAGTTTATTTTTATTTTCAAATCCAATCTAGAAGACTCTAGACTTGTCCTAACCTTCGCCTAATTAGAAAAATTAGCTAATTTCCTTCGTACACTGCTCGAGAGACACGACACTCGGAGAAAACTGACCCGGATGTGTACTCGATCAGCTTTCATCGAGGCTGCAAGCCTTAATATGCATAGGAGGGCCTCATACTCTGCCTCATTTTTCGTCACCTTGAACTAGAACTTGACCGAATAATACGCTTTGAAACTTTATAGGGATATCACAACCACTTCTCCCTCGGAAGCATCAGTCGCTAATAAACCATCGGTAAAAATAAATCGTCTAACAATTTCCTCTTTCGTCACTTCCTTTGGTACTAATCTCCTCCCTTCTGGTGCACTCCACTAAAAAATTTGCTAGTGCCTGGCCCTTTATAGCGAGTCGAGGTTCGAATTCAATATGGAATGATCCTAGAAACACCCCCCCCCCCCACTCACTTACTCGGGATGGGGAGTTTGGGCTCTTAATGAGGGATAGACAAGACGAAAATGTCACTGATGAGGAGTGACTTTGACCGCATTGATCACCTCGTGATGAATTGGATGAAGGAAGGGAGTATAAGCCATGCTCACAGGGGCTCTTTAAAGCACTTTGTTAGTTTTGTTGTCCCGAATCGTAAAATCCTTAGATGTAAAAAAAAGAGAGCGATTATTATCTTTGGTAAATTGATGTACATATCGAAGATGAGAATTACTGGTGGGTGCATGAAGAAGGTTAAGTAATTGTAAAATGTGGTGAGGGATGGCTAGAGTACCTGAGCCTGTGTGGTCAATTTGGAAAGTACGTATTACCTCTCACATTGGTGATAGAAGTGGTTCTTTGATATGAAGAGGAATGTTGTAGCCTAGAACAATCAGAAGTCACACGAGCATTTGTCCCAGTATCCAGATGCCAGTTCTGAGTTAGTTTAGTAGATTGATTTTTATAATAGGAATGTGGTGGACCAGAGTATGATTCATTAAAGTAGTGCCAATAATTTCAGATCGCATGCTCAGATTTCCCACATAGCTGGCACGTGACCAGCCCTTCTTGCGGTGCCCCTTTACCGTGTTTACGTTACGTGGTTTTGTATACGGCCACTGCGATCGCCGAAGCCATCGTCATGGGTCAGGTCGCCTCTGTCACGGTAAGCCCCACGTCCTCGGCTGCAAAAATTTCTACGACCAGAGTTCATAATAAGAGCATTGTGGACATCCGAAGAGGAAACATGAGTAGAGTCACCAAGCTGTAATTTTTTTTCAAGTGTAACATTCAACTTTTCCGGGAGAAGCCATGCAGATGCTTTATTAAGAATTGGTAGTTCCAATACAAGTAAGAATATGTTATTTTAGAGAGGCATAATTCACAAAGAGGCCACATAGAACACATAAAATAATATCTTGTTCAGTCATGCTCTACTGATTAAGCCTTATAGATGCAACAATATTAAGAGCACTATCAAGTTAGGTTTGTACAAAATTTAGTGCCCTTTCGGAGACTATGAAGGCATTCTTTCAACGAGAAAATATGGGTATGAGACAGTGATTTATTCCTCTATCTAAAATAATTCTATATTGCCAAAGAAGATGGAATTGCATGAATATACGTTTGAATTGTGAGAGAAACAATAGCGGCTAACATCGTGGCTCAGATTTGAGCATCAAGAAGCATCCACGTCTTGTGTGCAAGAATAACGTTCATAGCCGGGGGATCATCTTTCCTAGTGCTGCAACTTTTTCTTATAGAATAAGTGGTCGGGGGGGGGGGGGGGGA